GCAATCTGTTGAGGTTTTTGTAAACGGCAAAAGCAGAAAGGTTTCGATAGGGTCTTTGGAGAATACCTTCCAAGCTGAGAAACAGCATGACTTGCTTTTGATTGAAGAAATGGTGTAGAAGAGTCATTCAGCTACGACCTGATTCTTTTGCTCTCTTAGCGAACATCTTCTTGTCTCTAAGCATATTCTAAAATTCAACGTAATCGTCATAGCCAGTATAAATTTCAAAGCCAACGAGAAATAACTACGTAAATATATCGATCGATCATATGAGCAGGGGCTTTCGACGTTCACTTTGTGAGAATTTATTGGTATCTTTGTTTTGGGAGGTTTCGTGGCTTCCGGCCGACTTCTTGAAGGGCCACGCCTGGTAGGGCGCGCAGGGATCGGGGCTAAAACAGCGCATAGACGCCTGCTCGTCGACTATAGTAGACGCGTGGGCGTCGGTATGGGTCATCGCCGTAGCTTTCAATTCTTGACGTATGCATTGCTTTCTTTTTATGTATATACGTATGTATATATAATGTACTTTGTACCATTCCATCCTTTTCATTATTATTAGCGTACCCATGAAGGACTGTCTTGAATATTGTGTTGAAGGCTTGATATCGTAGACTGTTTACACAATTGGCGAAAGCGAACGCCGCGTAAGACCCCGATCGGACTTTCACGCCGACAGCGAAGCCGCTCCTAAGCGCGGCGAACCCCGATGCCCATCTATGGCGAGGAGCAGGGCATCACCACCGACGTTACAGGAGGTGTTTTCGCATTCTATGCAAATAATCTGTCTGTTCAAATTGAAGTTTTTGTAGTGACGTTCAACATGCATTGTAAGCAGTTATTTATCTAGTTGACATGATGCTGCTCTAAAAGTTTTCGTGATATTGAATACGATGCAAAGCTCTGAACTTCAGAATGATTGCAGCCGTAATTGCTATGCTCACCCAAAATACAGTGGCTTTCTGTTTGGGAAACGGTGCTCACCTCACATACCACTTATCCTGCGCTTTTCGGTCCTTGGAGTTTGCCTTTTTTATCAATAATTCGTCAAGGCACAGCGTACCAACACACTTGCAAAAGTGTATGCGAGCACGTTTATGTCCACGAGAAATTGTGATTATGGATGTCAAGGACAATACCCGAATCAGCTTGTTTCCAAGATTGTTCTCGAACCGTAATTGACAACATCGGCAACAAGGGTCATGTTATTAATTTGAGAGCTTTTGCCAATCACTCAGTGATCCTTCTTTGACTGAGAAGTTTTGGTTGGAGGGACTTCGTGCGGGCTGATGTGCGGGTCGGAAAGCCTGTTGTTGTGAATCTACTGGGTTGAACCAGAACTGCATGCAAATCACATCCTACTGGCACCTACTTCCTGTCATTCAATCCACTTTCATTGCCCCAATTTCTTTTTTCGCTTCAGAAGTGCAGTAAAAAAAATCGGCACGGTTGCTGTCGAGTTGGAACCATTTATTCCACTTATTAATGAGATTACAATGTCAAAAAAAAAATTCATACAATACTATTTATAAATAGCTCTAAAACAAACTTTACAACTACTTCGCCTTTGGAACAAATCCCAGATGCAGTATTTTCCGAACTGTAGCTGGTCCATTCCATCGTCCCTTGACAAGAAATCGCCAATAGAGGAACGGCATCAAGTAGCGCTTCATGTACCATGCAAGCCGCCTTGAATAGTGATATCAAATAACCTGGATGGCTCTTTTTGTTCATTGTCGGTGTATTTTGTTCCGACCATTAGTAAAGGGAGAAAATAGAAACACTAAATGGTACTGAGGCGGTGCGGGACAGTGCCGCTTATACTCCTTGAATAAAATCTGAGTAGGAAACGAATTTCGCATTTAAAAAGGTCACTTATCTAATCTATCCTCTGACTTCTGTCTAAGCTGCCGAGCGCGAATGAACCTACTTCTTTGAGGATCTTGGGCGCTTTCAGAGTACTGAGTGAGAGTTGAGCGTTCCGGCGCTAGTGAGCCGCGTCGGCTCCCGCACCACCGCGGCTGCTCTTTGCGTTGATTACTACATTTCCCAAGCAGAGCTGCTATTAGACAGCTCTTCCATAATGACATAAAATTGCCATATTACCCCACAGTAGTCGAAGAGGGAAAATAGCAAACCTGTATACAAAAAATTTTATAAAGGTAAACACAATCAGTAAAAAGTCGATAAAGAAATGATTCACCGCACAATTGTGCGGTACGCTCAACGCTTCATGCTAAACGCTCTACTCTAAAAATGCCACGCCAGAATTTTGTTTGAAACTCTCTATCAATTTATCCGTTGTACAAAGATTTTGTCAAATTCACCTGGGTACGCTTTGATCAAGAGGTGACGTCTCCATTCGCTGTCCGTCTGCACTGAACTCGGCGAGGATGGCTTTACTTCTACTGATAACCAACGGGCAAGAAGCATAGCCGTCGTACTGAATGAACAAGTCATTCGAAATGATTACCAGTCGTGATAACCAAAATTACCAATGCTCTCAACCCACATGTGCTAGAGGTTCTCTCCCTTCTAGAGCAGCTGTGAGATTCTTCTCAAGCGTTTTCAGATGGCTCGATACTGCAGCGGCCGTTTTAGCATTGCCCGTATTCATGCAATCTCCCGCGGCGAATACGTTTGCAAAATGTTTTGACTGAAAACGAAGCTTGAAACCTCAGAATCCTGTATTGCTCAGGGCAGGGCAATTCCTAGATAAAAGGAGCGCATGACTGGTGGAAAGACCTGATAATATAGATAAGAGCCAGTGAGCTCTTCAAAAAGTGGAGATTCGATTACTTCAATTTAAGACTTACACGTAATGTCAGAGGATCCACATCAACCCAGCCTTTTTCATCGGTCAACTCTCGACATTCTCGTACCGCCTGCGGAGTGGAGCACGGTGGTGCAATGTGGAGCAATGAATACTAAAGGTTGTAGCGTTTGTACAAGTGTGTTGAATGATGTGTTCAAAATATTGGAGAGCAATTTCTTGGATCAAATAATAATTTGATTTGGGACACGATATAATTTATTTGTGCGACTTCAGATGTACCTCGGCATCATTATAAGAATACCATTATTGACATTAATCCACACAAAGTTGACGTTGACGAATACCTCGAAACCTAAAGTCTACCCGACCAAGCAAATCTACAAGACCTTCAAGATCAGCTTGATTATCACCCAGCATCTGGTAAATAAAGTATCGTACTTTGCTAATTGCTAGAATCGACACTCGTGAACTTGAGAGCGATGGTGGAATAAGCTGTCTAGCGTACAAAGGCTAGAGTTGAAGGTACAGTTTAGGATGGAAATGGTTTCTGAGATTTCTGAGATTGGGGAAAGTTCCAGCTTCTAAAACCAGCTAGTCAACCAATTTTGTCTAGAACAAACTCACCGGTATTTCCGAGACTTTTCCATTTGGTACGCAGTTCTCGTCAAGTAACTCGAACTTGGCAATTTTGTTCTCAGTATCTACTTCAATCAAATTATGTCTCGTTCGCACATCGATGTTCTTCGCTTTGGCAACTGCATTCAGCGACTTCAAATATGCTTCTATTCCAAAAAGCTGAAAAAAATCAATGTATAAGTATATCATATACTACAGATCAATTCAAATCAGCATTTCTCTTGGTTGGAAAGCAATTTACTCGCAGCCGGGGTCTGTGAAGTGTAGAAGACGAGAACAGCTAATGGACACCTACTTCACGGCTTTCGCTGTGGAGGTTGTAATCGAGACAAGTAAATAGATATGTGTTGTGGTAGGGTGCCCCAAGACAGTCTGCTATATTCCTCCTATTTCGAAGATTTTTTTCTGATACGCTACTTTCTTTTCAATCTTGTCCCCATCCAAATTAATTCCCTCACTTTAATCGGGAACTGTCCACCAATAGTCTAGTTGCCTTGGAAGCTTCTCTAAAAATCGCCACACCTCTCAAAAAAATCAAAAAAAGCTGTGATGTTCAGTGACATAGAGCCAGTTCCTCTAGACGGGCTATTTTGTAAAGGGTGTGGATGCTTTGCATTGACGACGACTTCATTTTAAGTTTTCAATAGAAACGACTTCCCGCCGCCTAAGTGTTTTTCTTAGCTGCCCGTTTTGGGATTTGAACCAGGGTATCTTTTCACCCGGTAAGTCTAGCCGTTATGTCTACTTTTGACAAACTGCCAAGAAAAACAAGATTTCTTTGTATCTGAAAAACACACTGACCCTTGCTAAAGAGGTAGCGTAGATGAAATGCGTCTTGTCACGGTAACCACGTCTGCTTACAATGTCCTCACCATAGTAACACACTTTCTGTGGAGCTCCAGCGCATTTGATTGGTGTGTTTGGGAAGGTAAATATACAGTTGCCAGACTGAAAGTACATTCATTACTTTTTTGACCGTAGGATAAATCGATGCCAGTCAAGGAAACTTAATCAGGTATGATTGGTCTTACCGTGACAGTGCTGAGCTCCTTGAAGGTTTTCGTGCAATGAAATGGAGAGTAGTTGGAAGTGACACCAGGAGTTTCGAGAGCCTCCGGAAGGCCTTTGACCTGGAAATCATGGAAAGAAGAGCTCGAGACGTCAGAAAACACGATAGAGCACTATTTGGTGAAAGGCATACCATGTCCCATCGTAGCTGCAGACCGGTGGCCAGAACCATATAATCATACGTGATCTCATCACCATTCCTACAAAATGATGTCCTCTGGGATCCTCTTATCCTGGCTCTGACTTGAAGATTGTCCTGGATTTTCTGGTTTAGGATGGGTTTAATCCTTCTCGTTCTCGGTATTTCTATCTACGCTAGCTAGAACCTCACTTCCGAACTCTATCAGAACTCTCTGGGCCCAAATTCCCACACAACTCTCCCTCCTTTTCATTTCTATGTTCCTTGATACTCTTTTCCTACCTCTATCTACCTAAGATCTCATAGATTGTACCTTTTTACGTCTTCGTATTTTTCTAGGGACACCTCTTTGTTCCTNTTGAAGATTGTCCTGGATTTTCTGGTTTAGGATGGGTTTAATCCTACTCGTTCTCGGTATCTTTCTATCTACGCTAGCTAGAACCTCACTTCCGAACTCTATCAGAACTCTCTGGGCCCAAATTCCCACACAACTCTCCCTCCTTTTCATTTCTATGTTCCTTGTTACTCTTTTCCTACCTCTATCTACCTAAGATCTCATAGATTGTACCTTTTTACGTCTTCGTATTTTTCTAGGGACACCTCTTTGTTCCTCCAGCTACCCCTCCATAATCTGGCCAGCTTTTCCCTTTTCTTATAGATGTTCCTATTCCTTCTAGTCTTATAAGCCATCATCCCTTCTCCACGACCTTACTACCTGATCGCTAATCAACAATCCCTTTCATAAATCTCGACCAGTCCTCTTTTCGGAGTTTCTAAACAACCGTCTACTTGTTTGAGCACTTGATACTTCCCTGATTCTCTTCTATGCCTGGATCATCCGCGAACCAAACAGTAGAATTTGGGTTCCGTAGTGCCAGTGAGAGGCACTACGGAACCCTGAGCGCTCTGAGGGATTTCATCAAGGATATTCAGGTTTTAACTACAAGAAGAATCTCTACATCAAAACAGTTTCGTACTGACCTCAATCTAACCAAGTTCTTTTTCGGCTCAAACTTTGCTGCATGACTGTGAATCCAAATTGTATTCGGATGAATGAGATCTCTTTCTCGCCTGGTGTTTTGTTCTATGGTCATCCATCCACCACCGACCATAGTGAATCCTGGCTGGTAGTAGTGGTACTAAAATAATTCGTTCAGGACATTTACAGTGAGAATCGTCAAAACCATACGGAAATGTAAATTCTGTACTTTCTTGTTTCATTCAAACTGTTTTTTCAATTTGGTCATGTCGAAGCTAAAATTGTTGGAGTCGCAATACCACTGAAATGAACTCGTCAAGCTCTACCAGATGGTGTCTCAGCTCACGGAAAAGAGTCGTTGGATCAGCCTGATTTTATGGGATACTTTCAAACTGTAATGGTGTTTCTTCTAAGTTCGAGAAGAAGTCAAGCAAGTTCCAGAATGCAGTTGGAACTTGTGTTTAACTCGACCACAAAGAAGCGTTCCTCTTGATGTATGGTTCCGAATTCCAGTGAAAGGCTTACTCTAGGAATGGCCAATTTTTAATTTCTAAAAAAAACTCAGGAAACGCAATGGTGGGAAGGTCAGGAGTAAATGCGTGATTACGTCTTATCACAGAAGATATGGGTGGCAGCGCCTGTAAGGTTATGAGCTACATGAAAATAGCCAGGCTCCATCCGGTAGGGTACAGATCCGAGAAATTTTGCCTTAGCCCTGATCTTTTACGAATAAATAAACTTTTCTTCTAGAAATCTTTCTTCAGATGGTAAAGTGTTGAAATATGAAACACACCTCATTTGGCTCAATTACGGCAATGGAGAATTTTGGAAGTTTTCGAGCGAATTTGTGACTGGCACCCATCCCCGCCGCGCCACCACCGACTACTACCAGCCGGAAGTGCTGCCCTGAAACATTAAATGAGTTTTTTCCCTTCGAAAACTTTCCTAGCCTTTGAAACCTTTGAAAACGACTTTTCAAAGCTGGTAAGATGTACGTGAATAAGAAGGGAATCGTTAAGTCCATTTTAAATTAGCCCTCTGTCTGAGAAAAATTGGACCCGAGGGAAAAAACTTGATTCGAAACCCACATGCGTTGCTCCATCACACATTGGAAAATTTTGCAGCGTAAGTGGAACTCTAATGGGCCCTTATCACTGCAAGTCAGATATCACTTGACAGCCCAAAAAACCTCTCCCTTGGTCCTCAGTCGTGGAGCCTTCTGACGTGGATCAATCCCGTTTGTTGGGTGAGTCAACGGTTCGACTTTTATTTGGGATCGCAACCTGTTCATGAGTTCACTGGCTTGCCTAGGCAATTCACCGTCGAATCGATGGAACCACAGTGAATGAATAATTCCGAACTTATTAGAATTCTCTGATTTCATGGCGTAGATTGAAAATTCCTCTGTGCTGCCGAAGTTGGGAGAGAATACCTATACCGGTTGCATTTATTTTCCGACCGGTTGGTAGGGTTGAATCAGCTGTACTAGGAAGCGGTCATACCATTGAGTAAAGAGTAGCACTATTCAACAGCATTTTGACGAGACTTCAAAAGAAACTCCATTGTCTTCATGAGATAAAAGTGAAGGAGGCCTGATTATCTCTGCATTCAACTACTAGAACTTATTTTGATTTCAGTAAGTAGTAGTTAGTCTTTTGCTTCGCAAGTGGAGGGAGTCTGGGAATGCTACATGATGTCTCCGTCATTCACCTTCGAAATATTAGTGACTACGACGAATATTTTATGCTGCCAGCAATCAGTGCCAATGCATTATGACGCGATATAAACAACTGCAATCACCAGCAGATACCCTGATCCCGATTCTGGACCGTTCTGCGTTTTCTGCAGCTGTTGTGTTTTCATCAGTCCTCTTGAACTTTTTTGAGTTGCAGAACCGGATCATACTTTTGTTCTGTCGTTTACTCGTGTTCGCGTATCAGACGCCATGGGTATAATCTACTGGGCGACAAATCGTCGCAAGGGTAAGTTACGTCGGGAGATGCACAAATTGGCAGTGAGCCGGCAGACCAATATCATTGACATCATCAATAAGTAACAGAATTAATCAACAACAAGCTGCTCATCTCGAAGCTTTGCCGGCCTCCGAACGAGCAAATCGCCGGATTTGAAAGAAGAACTTAAACAACATAATCAGACAAGCCCTATGTGTGGGCGGTTGCGTCGCGGGTTCGCGCTATAGCGCGTTATTTTAGGGTGTCTAAGCACTGCGGGAAGGCCTCGATGGCAAGAGATTTCCTCTTTCGTAACTCTACTTATTGACAGTTGCGTAGAGCGTTTGAACGCGTTATTCCAAGGTGGTTACTGATTGTACGAAGTAACTTTCTACGATCAATGGGCTGCTAAACTATGGTTAGGTAATGTATG